TTGTAATCTCTGCGTCTGATGGCTCCTAATTGGAATCGAGACATCCTTTGAGCAATTCTTGGATTGACGCGTCTGATGGCTCCTAATTGGAATCGAGACATCCTTTGAGCAATTCTTGGATTGACTTTTCCTCTCGGAGAAAAGTCGGGATTTGAGTCACTTGAATGCCGCTTAGACTTTTTTTTATCAGCCACGTTGATGGTGACTTCAGGGAATTCATCATCTTGGGCAGCTGATTTTCTCTTGCAGAAATGCCTCGGCTTAAGCTTCGACATTTCGGTGAAAAGACTGTGGAATACCGAGACTCTTCGTGAGATGGCTTCTCGTTTGAAACAGTCACATTCTGATAGCATTGCTCTAATGAGTCGCGCACAGGAACAATGAGAGTTCATTTCCCGAACAGTTCTCTTTCGAGTTTTGTTCATACCCCCAGCTTGATAGTATGATTCATCGGTATGATTGCCGAAAAATCTTATCGTCTGTTGGTATGACCCCCCAGGTATAACGATGTCTTTTGACGAACATGTTTTCTTCTGAAGATATAAAACCTTGTTGGCATTCTCAGGATAACTTATTATTGTCTTTGAACGATCCAAGGTTATGTCGGGAGTCACACGTTTAGAACCACCCCCTTGTGGGCATGGAATCTTAACGGGCTCCGAATGCTGATTTTGCACAACTCTAGACTTTGGAATCCAAACTTTGCAGAGTTTTGATGGTTCTTTAGCCACTGTGATCGCCAGTTTGTTTGCGTCAAAAGTTGGTCTCATTGTGGAATTCATTATATCTTCGATCGATTACAACAAATTCAAAAGAAATAGCCTTTTTATAAGACTTCTTTTACACAACAAAAGGAAAATTATAACTTTTTAGAAATAAACGCAGGATCGTTGTTTGGATCGCTGCTTGCGTGGGATCTTTACCTGTGTCGGGAGCGCTTTGACTCGTGGACCACCAAATCACAGATTCTGTTTGAATCGTGAGGGGTTTAATGATTCTTCCTTCGTTTATCGAAGTGAGAATTTGAAGTGAATATCTTATCGATGTAAGATGTTCACTCTTCTAAAGATCAAGTCAGAGCTTAGATCTCTAGAAATCGCCAAAAGCTTCTTGAGGATATTTGTGAAGAAGGAAGACTCTCTCTCTTGCTCTACTTCACCAAAACTCAAACATTTTCTGCTCTAATCTGCCATCTGTCCTTTATTTCGTGCCTAGGAAAGTATTTATAGGGGTAGGAATGCACAACAGTAGAAACGGGGGTGAAACAACTGACCAAGTAACTGCTCTTTGACCGCGACAGCCAACACTGCCGCGGCTATTGGCGCGGCAGCATGGACTGCAGCGGCCACAGGGGCAGTTACCAGCACGTTCCATCGTGCTTGAAACTGTCCTCCCACGACTTTTAACCACCTTTTTCGTGGTTTAACTGCTTGTACACGTCAGCACACGTTCTATTTCTGATACGCCGCCACATAGACTTCACATAATCATCACATAACTGCCTCGTAACCGCTGTAGCATCCCCTATAGTAGCCGCGGCACCATGGATTGCCGCGCCCAAGCCGCGGCACTATGAACTGCCGCGTCTTAGCCGCGGCACTATGAGCTGCCGCGCTGTAGCCGCGGCACCATGAGCTGCCGCGCCCACACGCTGTAGTTTGCATTGTTCTGTGAATTCACATTGTTTTATGTTGATTCACAGATCCTTTTGCTTCCTTTGGGCTTGTATGATCTCCCATGACTTAGATACTGATGTTTATCACCTTCTCTTTGTCTTGAGTGACATTTGGATGTCTGTAAGCATTTTTGACGTCTACAATGGGGAGGATGAGTATAAACACGATTATGAGAAGTAGCACCAGAAAGAAAGCTAGATGGAGTGATATTAATAGCATGAGTAGCAGTGAGAATGGTCTCAACCCAGAAATGATGAGGAACAGAGTAAGAAATGAGCATGAATCGAGTGGTATCAAGAATATGACGATGTTTGCATTCAGCAATACCATTTTTCTCATGAGTGTAGGGACACGACTGTTGAAAGATAGTCCCATAAGAGGAGATGATAGAGCACATGGTAGAGGATATATATTCTTTGGCACAGTCAGAATGAAAAACTTTAATACATACTTACCATTGAGTGAAGATTATCGCAGTGAAGGTTTGATAAGCAGCAAGCACGTTAGAATGATTTTTGAGTAGGTAGACACATGTATAACGAGAAAAAACATCGATAAAACTAACATAATATAAGTAGCCAGATGAAGAAGTCAGAGGAGCTGGCCCCAGATATCAGAATGGATCAAATCAAATAAGAAAGTAGAAACAGATGTACTGGTTGGAAACGGTAGAGCAATGAATTTAGCCAATTTACAACCAGTACACGACTCAATATGAGAACAAGAGGATACGAGACCAAGTACTCCGGATTGGATAAGACTTTTTAGCCTTTGATGATACATATGACCAAGTCGTCTATGCCACAAATCTGCGGAAAGCAAGATAGAGGATTTTGGATTTACAGAAGCAACAAGAGAACGTTAACGTATGGACTCTGGAAGGTGAAGATATTCCAAAAAATATAGTTTGTGCCTCTTTCGACCGGCCCTAACAGTCTTGCCCGCCTGTGGATCCTGTACAATACATGTATAGAAGAAAATGAGACAAGTAGGCCATCTATACATAAGGAGTTAATAGAAATTAAATTCAAACACAACTGAGGAGCCACATAGATGGGGCCAAGAGTTAGACGACCAGATGTGTCAGTTAGTGGGATGATAGAGCCATATTGAGTGATAAACAAAGTTTGTCCCGCAGCCATGTAGATAGGGGAAGAGAAGAGGAAGTAAAGACAGAAGATAAGAGGGAGACATTACGAGTCATATGAAAGAAATAACCAGAATTAAAAATCCAGAGATCATTCATACTAGAGACCGAAAGGTTGGTTGAAGAACTAACAATAATCATACCAGAGAGTTATGCAGTAGATGTAGAGGCTCTATACTGAAGAACATCAATTTGATGGTTATCGAATATCAGAGAGTTGTACAGCAGATGGAGATATGGTATGCTGAAGAGCCGTAATTTGACTGCTAATATTTGTAATAGCTTGAAGAGCCTCAATTTGATGGCGAATATCAGATAGTTTTGTAGCAGATGGAGAGGTGGTATGCCGAAGAACCACAATTTGACGGCTAATATCTGCAATAGCTTAAATGGTAGGGTCTAAAGCGCCTAAGCCGCGGCACCATAGGCTGCCGCGCCATAGCCGCGGCACCATGGACTGCCGCGCCTTAGCCGCGGCACCATGTCCTGCCGCGCCGCAGTGTGTTGCCTGATGATGTGTATATTGTTATTCTATGTTGTCTCACTTCCTTTGAATGATCCCCTCTGATTAAGAGACTGGTGTTTACCGTCTTCTCTTTGTCTTTGGATGTCTGTAAGCATTTTTGACGCCTACAAAAACTACCATCACTTCGCGAAGAAAGCCATTAATCTGGAAACAAGAAATTACCCATCACAGTTAACAGCTGCTTGCTCTTTAAAATTAGCATCACTTTTGCAACAAGGACAAAGAGGGTGTTTGGAAGAGCTTTTTTTTTTGTCAAATTAGCTTTTAAGCAAGATTTTTCATATCTACCTGTTTGATAAATCACCAATAAGTCGGCTTATAAGTCTCATTTAAAAAAATTGGGATTCCCCAGCTTTTTTGAAAAAAAACTAGCTTATAAGCTCATATAAACAAGCTATATTTGACCCAGTAAATGATCATTCTAGCCATACAACCAATGTTTTAAATATCGGTTATCAAAAATATATTGAACGGCGAAATTTCATATCAGATCCCGATTATTAGGGATATATCAGAGATAAGTAGTAAAAATCAGAATGTCATATAAGATGGTGAGCGTATATAATATAATGTCCTAAAATGTAATCTAAGCACATCTAATGAAATATCAAGAGAGGGTCTTCGAGAGAGGTCATCGACAGAGGTCTTTGAGCGAGAAATTTGCAAGCAATTTGGGGGAGAGAACAGTGAAGGAGGAGAGAATTAGGGTTACATGATAAGCGGATGTGAAATAGAATAGGATAGCACAGCTTATGTTTAGTGGATCCGGATCGCATATGAAAAAGAGGGTTTTTTGTCTCCAAACTCAAATAGGTTCGCTTAGAATATAAATTGGAGAAAATCGAGTGATCCATAAGAAATCAGCAATTTTATCGGATTTACACCGATATGTCGGGACAAATAGGTCAAAAATGATATGTGATTAATTTTTACAGAATTCGTATCGGACATGGACCAAACACTATATATCGGCGATAAATCGATAAAAATCGGTCTATTTTTAATACACTGCATACAACTTTAATAAGAAGTTTATCATAAAAGTCCAAAGTCATAGCCTGCATGACTTATAAGCTCCTAAAAGCAAGCCCTCCCAAACACCCTCAAAAACTACAATAAAACAATAAAGCCTTTTTTGTATAGTACAGAACTAATTACCCCCTTTTACATAAATATCTTTCTTCCATTAAACTATTTACAGCTACCTACTCTCTAAAATTAGCATCACCTAAGTAGATTCTAGATACCTCAACTGTTTTCGACCATATCATGGATTGCCGACACAATGTTAAATCAATGCATCAAAAGTACATACTATAGACGGTCAAGTTTTAATGACCCAATATCACATTGTTGTTTTTTTTTTTTGCTAATTACACAAACAAACAAATGTGACAGTAAATAATGGGAGGTAAAATGTACACTTCTCATTATTAAATTCCAAAAGAAAAAGTTCTAAATTAGAAAGGTAAAGTGGAAGTAATATCAGGTCTCCTAATTCGGTCTCAGTAACCTTCCCTTCCATCCTAGTCAGTACCTAGAACGAAGCTCAATGCTATAAGGTAATTATCAAATATCAGAAGTGGACAAAATTTGGAGAAAAACATCAATAATGCATTCAAACTATAACATAAATATGTCAACTAATCACCTTTCCAGTCAAGAGAAGCCACAGAAGACCCTCAGGCAATGGCTCCTCCCCTCCATTTGCAGTAGGTAAAACTTTCTGACACTCAGGAATAGAGAGCCCCCTAAAACGAATACCCTGAAAATTCCAGAACCAATGTCACGTACTTGACAAATTTTGGACAGGATTGACAAATTCTAGAAAGACACACCCAAAATTCTGCTGCTGATGTACCATATTCTTGTGGAAATATTTATACATGAAGTAGTCCATGAGCCTTCAATATTTAGCATCTAGAATAAACAAACTCACCTCATCAGGATCAAGTAATGATGTTTCCCACAGTAATCCAGTCATTCCTCTCATTCCACCAATAACCTATGAAATGACAAGTATCGGGGTTATTAACACTATCTGCAGTTCACTATATATGTCAGTAAGAGGCCCAAAGCCTCACAACCACACAGGAAGACATAAAATTGACACATGCAATTTTTTTAGATAAGTACCATGTCCAAAGTGATGTTACCAAGTTGAACTTTTCCATGTTCTGATTTCAGTTTCTTCAGGCGTTCCTGAAACAGATAATATAATAAATTGAACAGAGTTCAACAAAAGAGCAATCATGAACACAAGACAAACATGAGACACTACTTCAAGGAGAAATTATTCACCGGAAGTCCTCATATAACTATAGACATTAGCACTTGCATGCAGTGAATGTAGGGATGCATTACACATGGATAATAAAGTTCACAGGCATACTAGAAAGAAAAGAGTCAAATTACAGCATATAGTCAACGGTCAACCAGAGTATAAAGTCAACCATAGTGCAAGTGCCAACAAAATACTGAAATGTAACATAGCAGTAGCATTGAAACCTATGATCTCATTGAGAAAAAGATGTAATATTAACAAATGCATGAAAAACCTAAAGGGTACATGCCTAAATAGATATTAAGGGTCACTGTCCACTAATATATATGCTTACCCAGGGGCTGACACATTGAAGTCTTGAAGCTTTATCTAAAAATATAAAAAAACGAAAAAAAGACATCATGGGCCATATATACTAATACATATGCTACCCAGGGACTGACACATTGAAGCTGTATCTAACACACAAACACACACACACACACACACAAATAAAGAAAAAAAATGATGCTAGCAACTCCAGAAGCGGTATTTATATACTGATAAATGCAGGAGTACTATAGTACTACAACATTAAACCAAAAATGTTCATCTGGAAGCCTATACCCCTAATTCCTGGCCAAAGCCACGCGGAACTGTCTAGCATAAAGTTTCAAAAACAAATTGAACCAAGGGTGAACTTCTATATTACTTGTACCCTAACGCTAGCATGTAGAAAACAAGGCATAAATGGCACAGAACAGTTCCCCAAAAAAACATGTAGAGGTTAGTAGAAATGAGGAATAACCTGTTGCTCTGGGATCAGTTCCTGTAATTGTGAACGGAGATCCTGCATGATAGAATAAACACAAACATATAAGCCTATCAGGATATAATCATTATAGATATATCACTTTGTAACTATAATACTTATTTTCTTAAGAGAAAATATAATACTGCAGAAAAACAAGCATGAGCTAGGTGAGAAAAAAACACATCAAAATTTAGGGTAAACTTCAAATACATCTCACAGATGGCCTGTTTTTTGACATAACCCAATGTAACAACTTAAGATATATTCACTTAAAGCTCTCAAGATTATTATTTCTAACATGTTTTGAGATGTCTGGCACGCTAAAATAAGGAGATGAGAGCCAGTAATTCTTGCAGTATCCAATTTGTTATTTAATGACATTTTTAATCAGCAGTTTCGTAAGCACAAAAAAAAGGGGGTGTTCATACTAAGAGGTCCACTTGATAATTCAAATTCAATAGTGAATAATGGATCTCCAAAACAGAACACAACCAACGAGCTTCTCATAATATACTTGTAACAATTTATGAAGCTATTGTCATATGTTACTTGTAAATACTAACTATCCTAAGTTTCACTACTTGTAAATACTAACTATCAAGAGATGCAACTAAGTTTCTCATAATATACTCGTAAATACTAACTATCAAGAGATGCAACTAAGTTTCACTACTTTCAAGTCTCAACTGTCATGTTCTTGGTGCAGGTCATAACATAAACTATTATGGTTGCTAAACAAAAAAAAGTAGGCGGGCTGTAATGCATCAACTTGGAAGTCAATTTTAAGACTCGAAAGACCAATAAACAAGCATCACGCTCCAGATGTTGAAATGCATCACAACTACAGAATTCGGTAGATTCATGTGTTTTATTACTAAAAAACCTAAGTGCATAGTACCACAATCATGTTAAAAGATCAGATACTGAAAAGAGAAATACTTCACACCCCACACTAGTAGCCTGCTTCTATACAAATACATAACTTTTCCCATCTGGAAAGAATGACGATTACATAGGTTTAGGTTTAAAAACTCTAAAATAGATATGAATTCAAATACATTTTGCACTAGCTGCTTCTTCCTAACTTAAATATCCATGAACTAAATTAACTCACATCTATAATCATTTTGTCATGCATCAAAATGTATAAACCAATATTATATTTGTTCGCTCTCGTACTTGATAATGAAAAAAATATATATACTCTCAATTTTCACCAAAAAAATCAACCGCAACAAAGAATCTTGTAATCGAATCTAACACTCACGAGATCCGAAGCGCTCTGGATTTGAATCCAACGAACCGAACCCAACGTAGTTGACTGCTGAGCCTGGACCGCAAAAAACAATCAAATAACGCACAAATCATAGCATCACTCCGATCATCTTCCCATAAATCCAGACAAAATCAATAAAAAAAACGAAATCACTTACGAGGCGAGATCGGAGCTTCGAGAGCGCTGTAACACTTCGAAAGAAACTCATTGCTCAAAATTAACCCTAGAGAAAAAAATCAATGGAAATCTAGGGCTAGGGTTAGGATTTCGAAATCGACGAAAATTGGGAATCTGGGGGGAGATGAGCTGAAGAGAGAGTCGGAATCGGCGCTCGAATATTATTCATTTATACATATTCGTGCTCTTATTTATTATTGCCCGTATTTTAATGAGGGTAATTTGGGAAATGGCATTTAATTTTTGGACACGTGGGGGTTTACTTTTTGCTGGCTGTAGCTGTCCTCGTTGGAATGGGCTTGCGCCCTTTCGACGATCTAGAAGGCCCTGCATCAGGGAGACCGGACTATTAACGGATCACCCGTAACCCGTTTTAAATCCGATAACCCAGTTTGTAATGAGGGTGTATTTATTTTCTTTTTTAGCAAAATAAAAGGTCTTTTCCAAATAAATAAAGTATTTGTTTTGGGGAATATATACCAATCAGATCATAATTATTTCTAAATCACCTCTTCGTAATGGTGAATTTGATTAGATGTAGAAACCTTAGAAATCAGCTTTCACCCCTCTAAATAAACAATTTTCTTAAATTTGCTTCCATTTCTCATTATTTGGCCAAGCGTATAAAGGCAAAAAATCACTTTTATTAAAAAGATTGGAAAGTGCTCAAACATTCAGAAATTGATTTTATTACTTTTTGAAAAGGAATCAGTGGAGTTATATACAGCAAAATTAGAAAGTTGAGTCCAACAATTGTTTTTTCTCTTTTAAATTTGCTGCATTCGTCACTGATTTCTCCTTTTTTTTAAAATAATGAAACTCAGCTAAAATTGGTTCCCAACTTTTACTTTTTGTGCATTAAATTTATAAATAAACCTTTTTTTCGCAAGGAACCCCCCTCAAAATAAACCAATCAGCTTCTAAGATTAAGGATATAGGCATACAAGAGAAAGGGGATGTAATATTCATGATATTCGCCTACTACAATCTTGACTTATTATAAAGCACAATTACAAAAAACTTCCCCATAGTTTAAAAGAAATTGCACATTATCTTAAAAATTCTAGCAATTTACATTAGCATTTACAAATCAATAACCCTTTTTTTCAGTTCATTTGAAATTAATAGCTTATTTTCATTTAGGTAAATAGATAATTATCGCTTTTCCTTCCATGAATTTTTTCGACACTATACCTAGTCATCATAAATTTATAAGATACTCTATTGTAAAGTGCTATAAAATCAAGTTTGTGAAAAAAAAAACACCATAATCTTTATATATTATATAGAGTACCAGAATGAGTTTGTAAAACACCGTAATTTTATATTATATAGTAGAAGAATAGTACAAAATTCATTAACTACTAAAAATAATGGTATCTCATAAAAACCACCTATAAAACTAGACTACATCATTCTACGGAAGAAACATCTTTAATTTTCAATGTATACACAAACCACGTTTAAGGCACTGTTTGGCAACAAGAGATTGTGTCTTCTTGACTTGATCAATAAGGTAGTAGAGCTGTTTGGTGACCAAAAATAAGAGGAGATTATTTTAGAGATTGTGTCTTTTGCAAGTAGCTTTTGAAAAGCTACCTCAAGTAGCGTTTGTCTTTGGGAAGGAGCTGCCAATTTTTGTCTTCCGTTTTTGCCCCTAATAATTCTAATTTTATATCAATAATATTGCATGTCTTTTTTAGTCATTTAACAAACTTAAGCTAGTTGTACAGCTACTTTTGCCAAACAGCTCTAGTCAATCAGCTAGCTACACAGCTAACAGCTTTCAGCTACAATTTCACAGCTTTCAGCTAGCTTAACAGCTTTCAGCTATAATCTCGCAGCTTTCAGCTAGTTTTGCCAAACTGAGCCATTGTGTCTTCTTGACTTGGTCAATAAGGTAGTAGAGCTGTTTGATGACCAAAAATAGGAGTAGATTATTTTGGAAATCGTGTCTTTTGCAAGTAGCTTTGAAAAGCTACCTCAAGTAGCATTTGTCTTTGGGAAGGAGCTGCCAAATTTTTTTCCTTCCGTTTTTACCCCTAATAATTCTAATTTTATATCAATAATATTGCATGTTCTTTTTAGTCATTTAACAAATTTAAGTTAGTTGTACAGCTAATTTTGTCAAACAGCTCTAGTCAATCAGCTAACTAAACAAGTATCAGCTTTTAGTTATAATTTTATAATTTTTAGCTAGTTTAATGGCTTTCAGCTATAATCTCACAGCTTTCCAAACACAACCTAAATCTAAAAAGAAACCCTTAAAATAAAGAGCCATGGGCCCATGAACTTATATTGACCAATGGACGGCCAAGATTGCCGACCAGTGATCGTAGACGACGGCAGGCGAGGTAGGCCCCAGGTATCTTTCGCACCCATCATCCAAGATATTTACCAAAAACACCATTCGCCCAAAATCAAAACCCCTCACAAAATTAATTAATATTTATACAAAAGAAGATCAAAGTCCCCTTTTCTTTCGTTGTTTTTGTTATTATTATTTCTCTCTCTAAATCCCTCTCAATGGCGGCATCGAGCCAGGGCAGTCTCCTCCTCCAGAAACAACTCAAAGGTCCCAATCTAATCACTCCACCTATTGTTTATTATTATTTTTGCATGAATTTTATCTATTTTTACCAGTTTTATTCTAATTTTTTTGGGGTTTTGGTTTAGATCTTAGCAAGAATCCTGTTGATGGATTCTCTGCGGGTTTGGTTGATGATAACAACATCTTTGAATGGAGTGTTACGATCATTGGACCGCCCGATACGCTATAGTGAGTAATTCCTTACCATATCCTTCCTTGTTTTCTTTTGATTGGTTTCGGTGTATTTTGATAGAACTCGATTCGATCCTTTGGGGTTTTAGAGTCCAGGGTTGTGGAATTTTAGGAAAGTTAGGGTTTTTGGTTGATTCTGTGTCTTTATGTTTGATTTTCTTGTACTTTGTGATTGCTTGGAATAGGATTGAAATCGGGAAAGCTCTTGTGCTTTGATAGAATTTAGATTGTCTATACATTGAAATTTAGGATTTTGACTCAGTTATGGGGTTTTTAGGTGTCTTAGGGTTTACCAAACTTGAGGATGTTTAGGTTTAGAGCAGCCGAGGACTGATCTTTATGTTGTTTGTTGAACTCCTGTGTTATCTGTTGGTGTTCCTGCTGTAACTTTTGGTATTGGCATATAATTGTTGAATAATTTGATACATATTACCGCAGTATGTGCCTGATTTAAAAACACGATTTATATGTCGGACGTTGAATTTTCGGAACTGTGTTGCCTGTTAACCCTCAGCATGTTTTTGTGTATTCTGCGCTGTTTTCGACCAAATAAAAAAAAACATCCCGCATAAAATAATTTATGTGCACTTTAAATTCTTGAATATTTTTAGAGTAAAACCCGTGTTTTTTGCTGTTTCCAACCAAATATAAAGTTGTCATCCTATAGAATATTTTATTCATAATAAAAAACTTTCATATTTCTATCCAAATTACAAGTTGTCATCCACATTGAATATTTTATGTGTTTTTTTAAATTCCCAAATTTTTGTGGACTATAATCAAAGATTTTGGTTGTTATCACCAAATAAATAATTATTTCTCATATAAAATATTTTGTGTACACTCAAATTCGTGAATTTGAATGGACTAACCCATGATTTTGGTCATTATCGGCAAAATCACAAATTATAATTTCGTATGAAACATTTTATGCGTAGTTGCATTCTCCAAGATTCTCGAATTTCTAGGAACTATAATCGATGATTTTGGCCATCTTCAACCAATCACAAGTTCCCTTTGATATAGAATATTTTATAAGTACTCCGAAAATCTCAAATTTCTATGGTCTATAACAAATGATTTTGGTCATTTTCAATCAAATCACAAGTTGTCGTCTCGCAATATTTTATCTCTACTTCTAGTTTTCTATGGATTGCAACTTATGATTTGACCGTTTTTGACCAAATTACAAGTCGTTCACTTGCGTAAACTATCTAATGTGCGCTCCTTAATTCTTGAAATTTGTGGTCTATAATTCATGATTTTGGTCGTTGTTGAATAAATCACAAATTGTCGCCCCTCTAGAATATATTATGAATTCTATGGGTTATATTACGAAAATTGACTAAAATCGTGGGTTATAGCTTATCAAAATTGTGAATTCTAGTGTATTGTGGGTTATAGCCTAAAAATCTCTTGAAGCGAACAAAAATTGACAAAAGTCGTGCATTATAGGTCATAAAAATTGTGAATTTTGATGATCACATTATTTATATAAGTTCTTCGAAATGTACCAAAGTTGTTAAAAATGATTGGGGTACACATGAAAATCGCAAATTTTAATGTTCACATGCTTAATTTATTTTCGGTTGAAATGAATAAAAATTATAAAAATCGTTAGTCATAGCTCATGAAAATCATTTGATGCACGCATACTAAATTTACTTTTGTTTAAAATGAATGAAAATTACAAAAGTTATTAGTTATATACCATGAAAATCGTGAATTTTGAGTCACCCATAATAAACTTTGTTCTCTCATAAGGGATGAAAATTGACAAATCATGAGTTATAGCTCATGAAAATCGTAAATTTTATGTACACGTAAGTTATTTGCATTCTTCATAACAAAGCAAACCTGTAAAAAGTAAGGGTTACAACATAAACAACAAAGTTTTTATGTACATAGTATGTTTGCTTTCATTGGAAACAAATGGTAATTGACAAAATTTGTAGGTTATAAATAATTAAAATCCGTAAATTTTTTATAATTGACAAAAATTGTTGGTTATAAATCATTAAAAATCGTGAACTTTTATTTACACGTATGATTTACACATAATTTATTTACATTCTTTCAAAATGGACTAAAATTGTCAAAAAACTATAGGCTATGGCCCCTAAAATTTGCAAAATTTTATGTACACATGATTACTTTATTTTTGTTTGAAAAGAACGAAGACTAAAATCATGGGCTATATAGCTTATGGTAATCGTGATTTTTGTTGTACACATAATTTATTTAAATTCTTTCAAAAGGAACCAAATTTATTAAAAATTGTGGGTTATATCCCATGAAAATCGCAAATTTTAAAGTACATATAATAAATTAAATTTCATAAGCAATGAACTAAAATTGAAAATTTTGTTGATTATAGCTCATGAAAATCTTATATTACGATGTATACATAATTTATTTATATTTGTTGACAACGAATTAAAATCTTTAAAATTCGTGGGTTGTAGCCCACGAATATTACAAATTTTGATGTACACGTAATAAATTTAGTTTCACATGAGCTAAACCAAAATTAAAAATTTTGTTGGTTAGCTTATGAAAATCTCGAATTTCAATGTATACATTGGTTCAAAACGAATCAAAATTTACATTTTCTCGAAGTGAACAAAAATTGTCAAAAATCAAGGTTTATAGATCATGAAAACTATGCATTTTGATGTACACATAATTTATTAACATTCTTTCAAAATGAACCAAAACTGTTAAAATCATCAGTTATAGCCTAAAAATCTCTTGAAGTGAACGAAAATTGACAAAAACCGTGGGTTATAGATTACGAAATGAACCAAAATTGAAAAATTCGAGAGTTATAGCTCATGAAAATCTCAAATTTCAATGTTTACATAATTTATTTACATTCTTTTAAAAATTATGAGTTATAGCACATGAAAATTGTAAATCTTGATGTGCACATAATAGATTTGCTTCACACGAATCAAAATTGAAAATTTTGTGGGTTTTAGCTCATACAAATCTTGAATTATGTTGTGTTCATAATTTATTATTTATATTGGTTTAAAACGAACCAAAATATACTTTATACTAAAATTGACAAAAATCATGGATTGTAGATCATGAATTTTATGTGCACATGGTTTATTTAAGTTCGTTAAAAACAAACCAAAATTGTCAAAATTCTTGGGTTATGATCTATAAACAAGACAAATTCTTAATAACACATAATAAATCTTCTTTTGAATTGAACCAAAATTTTAAAAAATTATGGTTATAGCCCATGAAAATTATAAATTTTTTTATGTACAAGTAATAATTTTTCTTTTGTTTAAAAAGAATAAAAATTGACGACAATTGTGGGCTATAGCTCACAAAAATCATGAAGTCTGATGTACACATATTTTATTCATAGTTTTTCAAAACGAAGTAAAACTGTTAAAAATCATAGGTTGTATCCCATGAAAATATCTCAAAACAAACAAAAATTGAGAAAAATCATGAGTTATAGATCATGAGAATCTTGAATTTTTATACATAATTTATTTACATTCTTTCAAAATGAACCAAAATTATCAAAACCATGAGTTATAGCCCATAAAAATCGTAAATTTTCAAGTGCACGTAATAAATTTAATTTCGCAAGAAACGAATCAAAATTGAAAAAATTGTGGGTTATATATCATGAAAATATCAAATTTCAATGTACACATAGTTTATTTACATTCTTTCAAAATGAACCAAGACCTTTAAAAATCGTGAGTGCCCATGAAAATCGCAAATTTTGATGTAAACATATAAAATTGAGTTCTTACTTAGAAATCACCTTTAAAATAGACTCATTTTATAGAAAACACTTTTGGTTTTATACATAACCGCTTTAAAACATTTTTTTGTTCCCATCAATCACCTAGTCTCACTTTTAAGTCAAGATTTTTTTGATTTTTTTTTTTGCAATAATTAGTTATCAAATACCAAATTTATTAAAGAGTGATCATTAATGGAGGTTAGGTGGAATCTATGTTGCGATACGAATCCGGGTGCGGACGTAGACACGTGCGGATACAGGACACATGAAAATTAGAAAAGTTAGGATACGGGGACACAGCTATATACATACATATTAAAATTAATAATCTATATGATATTGATATTATTTTCCATTCACATGTTATGAGAACTAAAATGCTTATGTCATGTCTTTTATTGAGTAGGTTATAAATTGAAAAACCACTCATTTTTTAACTAGATACTCAAACCACCCTTTAAAATCATAGTTATGAACTAGGCATGTGTTAGAATGAACATGTCCCGAGTCTAACAAGTGGCATAAATTTGAGGTTAAGTGTATGATATACGTTCAAGAAGTGTATCACTAGCTTTTTTAAACTAAAACATGCATTATATTCTAAGTACACATCTGAATAAATGTTTATATGCATTCAAGAACTGTCCAAGGAGTGTCCGACACGGACATGTATGCGGGAAGTGTTGGACATGTGTACGACATCCTAGATGAAGTGTTCGGGTAACATAGGGTAGGATCAATTACTTAAAAATTAAATAAAAAATGGTCTCAGATGGTTGATTGCAACAAAAAATACTTTAAAAGTGGTTTGTGTATAAATTGAAAATTGAAGGTGGTTTCTATAGAATGACTATATTCTTATGATTTTTCTTGTTTTCAACCAAATCATAAGTTGACTTCTTGCATATAGTATGTTGTGTGTACTCTAAAGTTTTGGTATATCTATGGACAATAGCCATGATCTTGGTCATTTTAGACATCACAAGTTGTCGTCTCCCACATAAAAAAAAATTATGTATTTTTCCAAAATCTCGAATTTTGACTATAATATGTGATTTTGGACGTTTTTGACCAAATCACAAATTGTCCTGCATACCATATTTTATGCATACTCTAATACTTCCGAAATTGGGTAAGTTGTAGCTCATATTTTGGCTATTTTTGACCAAAAAACAAGTATTCGTCTTGCATAGAACATTTTGTGCTCTAAAAAGCGCACAAATTTCTATGGACTATAACTTCTGATTTTGTTTGTTTTTTTACCAAATCATAACTTGTCTTGTATAGTTTTTTTATGTGTACTTCGATTTTCTGAATTTATGTGGGGACTATATAACCAATGATTTTGCCCATTTTTGACCAAATAGCAAGTTGCTGTTCCACGTAAAATATTTTGTGTTTTAAAAATTCATAAATTTGTATGGACTATAACCTTTGACTTGTTTTTTTTTGTTGACTAAATCATAACTTTTCCTACATAGAATTTTAATGTGTACTCCTATATTTCCGAATTTATGTGGACTATATAATCAATGATTTTGTCCATTTTTAACCAAATTACAAATTGTCCTCCTACATATAATATTTTACGCTTCTAGTATTACCAATTTTGTGTGGACAAATGGGCTATAACCCATGATTTTGATCGTTTTTTACTAAAGCACAAGTTGTCCTCCGTAGAATTTTTTATGCACATACTCCAAATTTCTTAAATTTCTATGGACTTTAGTCCTTGGTTTTGCCTTTTTCGACCAAGTCACGAGTTTATATCCCGCACAGAGTATTTTTATCTGTTATTTCAAAAATTCCAAATTTCTATGGACTATAACTTATGATTTTAGTTGCTTTCGACCGCATCACCATTTGCACTCATGCACGTAAATAAATTCCTGAGATTGTTGAAAGATAGATGTCTATGGATGTTTTTGTGGGTTTCGTAAGATTGGGAGTGTTGAATGGCTTGTCAACCAGGATGCCTTTGGTATCTTTCACATAATTCTTACATAAATATTTTTTGCACTATTGTCATATTACATTCTTCTGGCTTATATAGCAATTATAGACTGCATATTTCTGTCCACAAATATTGATTGAGTTCCAATTGTATTTCAGTGACGGGGGCTACTTTAATGCCGTTATGAGTTTTCCAGATAATTATCCTAACGGCCCTCCTTCCGTTAGATTTACGTCAGAGATGTGGCACCCAAATGGTTAGTTGCCTGCTCTTTTGTCTCTACAACCTTGTGCTATTATCTTGTTTCATGGTTAAGAAAACTTTGTTTATCTTGATATCTCAGTTTATCCTGACGGGCGTGTTTGTATATCAATTCTCCATGCACCTGGGGAGGACCCCACTGGCTATGAGCTTGCAAGCGAGCGATGGACACCTGTTCACACGGTAACCTTCTTTGTCAATTGTAAATTTTAATGTGTAAACTTTACTGTTTAAGTATTTTCTAGGTACAGTTTAGTGTGATTATTGGGGTATTATAAGAATTTTGAGGATTTCCCTAAAACATTAAATTAAGCCTCTGCCTCGATTGCAAAGAGAAACGATTATTTTTGAATTAGTGGTTATGAAATTAGGATCTCTAAAAGATGCAGAAAAGGTTTTGCCAGTGCGCATATTTGTTTGTATTTGTAGAGGTTTTGAGGCAGAATATAATTAACACAAGGGGACTGGCATACATCTCCATGCATCTTTTAGAATTTACTTGTGTGCGGTATCTTAAATAAATAAATGATGGATATAACTGTTCAGATAGACAAACAACCACGTAATGAACTAAGGAGGCCCTATGCACAAATGTTTTAGTATGTACTTAAAGATGCTATATCTTTGACTTTGCTGATAAGTCTTTGATTCTGGAAAGATACTGTTGGAACTAATAGTCTACTAGTCATGGCAAGATAGCAAAAAACAATAACATACTAAAATGTATAAATCATTTTTTAAAGAATAACTGAATCACTAAGAATTATCATTTAGTTCCAGATTCTTCGTGTTTAATCGTCAGGTTGTCGTCTCACTCTTTGTGTATTCACTCTTTTCATCTTCCCCCTCACTTCTTTGCAGTGCCTTTTGAGTTGTAACCACGCTATTTTCTCTGAATTGTTGAGTTTTTCCTATTGCTAAATCATTATAGCAAACTTAGTTCTTTATTGTACTGATAGACCGTGATTCGATCTTAGGGAAATACCTTTGGTTTGAGGTCTCTACCTCTTGGGTACCAATTTCCTATTGTGGATTGTAATTGGATTATATCTATCAATCTTTGTAACTGGAGTCGGATTACTGTGACTGCATGTTGTCAAATGACACAATAAAATCCTTTAATAGCTGTAATAGAGGAGGTGACAAGAGACCCGGGAACATAAATATAGGTTCCACATTTAAACTAAATGCAAACAAACAAGCTCATGTATGTCAATAGTACTTCCTATAGAAATGAGAACAACCTCTCAGATTTCTTAGATATATGGATGTTCTAGATGAGGTTCCGAAAGATGATCTACAAAATCATATGAAAGTAGACTTAAATGAGTAAAAACATGCAAGAAATAAGCCAATTGCTGGCAGAGAGTAATAATCATTGATATTACTATGGATGGAAAGTTGGGAACATATCTACTTCAAGGTTCAGTAATGAAATAAAAAATTAGTGAGTGTAATATCAGACGGGAAAAACCCTTGTTGTTTTCCAAGCCTTGCGAGGGTATTCACCAAAATGTCTCATGCTTGTGTTTCTGCAGTATTTTGTTTATTTTGTGCATGTTCACTTGATTCTTGTAAATTTCCTTATAATTATGTAAAAACTCTCTTGCTTGTAATTTGCATTATATATTCATAGCTAACTGAGATTTTTTAAATAAGCAGGTTGAGAGTATAGTTCTGAGCATAATCTCCATGCTTTCTAGTCCTAATGATGAATCTCCTGCTAATGTTGAAGCAGCTGTAAGTGATTCCTTTTTCTTATTTATATACAGATGGTTTTTGTTTCTGACGTTCTTTGATCTCTATTTCATCTTGTTTCTTTTGTGATAACTACATGCATGTAGTTCTTTTGTGACAACTACATGCATACATCCCTTAGTTTGACCATATTATTACAGAGTTTGACATGACGCAATTTTTTTCGATTGACATTCCAGAAGGAATGGAGGGATAAGCCGAATGATTTCAAGAAGAGAGTCAGCAGATGTGTGAGAAGATCTCAGGAAATGCTGTAAAGAAAATATCGTAGGCGAGAGAACCCACCTTGTCAAAGATTATAGTTTTGCGTGCGGAGAGCCTAGCTACGTGCCGATGCCCGTGTCGGTGTAGTTTGGATATATTTAGTGTGCATGCGGCCTGTTGGTTGCTACGTGTAAGGGTTATGGTCGGTTAAGCTCTGTAGATTTTCATCTGTCTATTGGAATCTCACTCAGTCCAGACCCGAGACTTTTTTCCTTCAATACACTTTTGGGGTGCATGTCATTTAGGTGCTTGATCTTCAGTTTTGAGTGGGAACTCGGTTTTGTCTGCCTTTTACTGTTTTTATTTGCCTTTTTTTTTTGGTGTGTGAAAGCCATGTAAACAAGTATTAGATATGTTAAAGAGCGTTCACAGCATGCAACTGTTGCCAGTTTTGCAAGTTTGCAACTGCTTATATGCCTTTTGCTAAAAGTTTTGTGAATGACACAGAGCAAGTTGAGCTTGACGGGATTAACATAGTTGATCAATTTGAGTCAAAAGGGCTCTCTATTTGAGCTCTAAAGATTTAGAGTTTTATTAGAGTTTTAATCTGTTTGTTGTTCTAGGTGTAAACTGCTTGCTTATGACCAGTGAAGTTCGTGAAGCTTTATGTATTTATGACCCTTGAAGTATTTATCAAGTGGAGCACAGAGCGCTATGTTTTTTTTTTTAACCAGTGAAGTTCATGACCCTTGATATATTTAGGGTGTGTTTGGTTATCTTCTCGAAATAGCAGGGGAGCATTTTCAAGCTTAAAAATGCATTTCCATGAGTTTCCAAGTGTTTCCTAGAAAATGATATTTTTTTTGTTTGTTTTATAACCTTGAGACTTGAAGAGAAATTGTCTGCTACAGAATTCCTTGTGTGGTTTGTAATTGAAAATAGGAAATCAGAATGAAGAAGACTGAGTAATAGTTCTTCATCCAATTATTCAACTGGCAAAGTAATAGACCTCCATCTGGAATTGGGTTTCTTTAAAATGATGATGAAATGTGATGTATCAAGAAACCCAAAGCCTCCTTTCCAAGCGAAGACAAACTAAGGGATAATATACAATTTAGAGAAAACTGACTGTTTTCTTGGGTCAGGGTTTTTTTTTTTTTTAGGATTTTCGGTTAGGGGGTGTTTGTTTGCATGTAAGTAAAAGATGAAACATATTTTAGGTGTTTGCTTGCGTGTAATTGGTTTCAAAAGTGAAATGTGAGAAAGTTGCTTCATAGGATTTAACGTAATTTTGACTTCCTAAAAAAGTGGCGAAGTCACATGAAAATGATAAAATAGTAACCAATTTTAATTAAATGATTTTAACTACTTTTATTAATTAATCCTATTTTGCCCACATCATCTACACATTGCACTTTTAATAATAATTTAATTTCTCAAACAAAGATTGTATATCACTTGCACGTTGACATGAACGTGAAAGTCATTTGCAAAAAAAAGTAACGTACATATTTTCATTTCACTTTCGAATTTCCTAATACCCCCTTAGGGGCTGTTTGTTTGCGATTTGGGTAGGGGGAAAGCCTGCCAAAAGTACAACTTTTGGCAGGCTTTCCACCCAAATCGCCTGCACTTTTGGCAGGGTTTTGACAGGCTTTCCAACCCTTTCCCTCTAAAAAACCTCTTTCCAAACAACCCCTTAGTGTAAACAATTTCAATCATATGTTTAGTTACCCCCTTAGTGTAAACAATTTCAATCATATGTTTAGTTGGAGGGCATTTGGATGTCGTTGCAAAAAGAAAAGGTTGTTGCTTGACATGAACGTGAAAGCCCTTTGCATCGACTCCTCTGACGGGTCCTCTACTTGTTAATTCCTAGTGCTCAGACGTGTGCAGAAATTTGGTCTCCTTCCATGTTCTTTCAAGGCTTTCAAGCTCAACCGAAATGGCAACTGGAAGAGGGTGAAGAGTATCGGAGGTACAGCAATATTTGTCGGGGCTAATCAATCGGTGTCTCTTACGGCTAGTGATTTCCCCGATACGCTGAGACCCAACTCCGTATATTTGACAGAAAGCCGCGAGATGGCTAAGAGCCCAAGCGATGGGCGACCTATGCACACAGGAGTTTTTTGTTTGGAGGATGAGAGGAGAATCGGGATGTTCGATTTGGATGGTAAAGATGAACGCGAGCTCTATTGGCCTCGTCAGGCGCCACACGCATGGTTCACGCCTATAACTACACCTTAAGAACATAATAAGAGTAGATAATAAATTCTCAGGGATCTGATATCTCTACATTTATCTTTATATGTTGCGATAACACTCGAGCATTGTCTACATGTTTAGTATGTGCTAACATATGGTGAAAGCAGATTAATTATATGCTTTCACTAACATCTGAGGTTCTTCAGTTTATGTCCACATTATTGCAGACCTTCGATATCTTAGGAAATGCTTTAAAAGAAAGATCACTGGGGAGGTAGCTCACCTTGTAAGCCATTACTGTCAGAATGCGGAGCTGAGCTACATGCTGATGCCTGTTTCGGGGTAATTTCTATATATTTAGTGTGGAATATGCAGGCTGATGGTTGCTATGTTTTAAGCTTGTAGATTCTCCACTCATTAGTGGGCTTATCTGAAAATCATGCAAACAACGTGTATATGTTAGGAGTGATTTGTACATGCTACTGTAACGAGTTTTCGAAATTTGAAGCTCGCTAATTAAGTGATTCGCAATCCTTTTACAGCAGAAGGGAGAATGTGTAGTATGATTGAGGATTCAGGAAACCTGAAACTGGAATATTATGTAAATACTTTATATGTACACCGGTCTGTCCCTTGAAGTCCTCTTCTCACTTACAGTAAAAACAAGGTGCACTAAATTTTAAATCTTGCACTGAACCTATATTATCCTGTTTGCAGATAAAATTTCGGAGGGTACCCAACTGTTCTTTTGCCTGCAACTACAAATCAACTGAATCATCAATTACAGGTTTATAGGTTTAGGAGTTTCTTCAGGTGCCAAGCTCTCAAAACGATTGAGAACGAATCATAAGCGCCGACTGATCGCAATGGGATTCGAACCCAAGACCTTTAGATCCGGAGTCTAACGTGATATCCACTCCGCTATGCGATCAATGTATAACGTATAGATGTCTTTTTATACTTCTGAGGAAAATAAAATGCAAAACGTTATGACACTATACTCCCATATGCAGAAAATTACAATACCGATACTGAGTGTGGACATTTTACCTCTTTGATGGAAGAAAGAAAAAAAAAATTTAAATCACAAAAAATGTAATTTTTGTGTGGCTGCTGGGATTCGAGCCCAGGTCTTCACGGTCACAACGTGAGATTCTTACCACTAAACTACAGCCACGGATATGCGTCGAAATGAGCCTATAATTAATATAAAAGTACGCGTCAAGATCTTACACAATTTTGCCTAATATGAGGGCATCATCGACCTTTGTATATTCATTAGCATTAACGAGTCTGAATTCAGTTTTAGTGATTAACTCATGCATTTAGACTTGGTATTGTAAATCCTGTAACGTGACATACCAAGATAATGCATTTTATTTTATTTTTATTTTATTTATTTGCTTAACAATTCATATCTTACACTATCCAATGCATATCTTGACTCTTAATCACGCTATTGCTGAGAGACCCTCCATAGTTATATTGCTGCAAAAAAATTTCACTCAGGGAGTCTGTCAGCAACAAGAGATCACAGGGCTATTGCTGAGAGACCCTCGATAGTTATATCGTTGCAAAATAATAATAATAATAATTCACTCAAGGAGTCCGTCTGCAACAATAGAATCGCAGGGGTCTAATCGCAATTGGGCTATCCAAGGTTCCATCCTCAACTAAACCAAGTAGAGGGACTAATTCGCAACAGCTTATAAGATTTGAAGTACCCAGTAGAAAATCCACTGATTTGAGGGACTAAAGATGAGTATTAAAAAAAAATCCAACTTAAAGAATATAAATTTTTATGTTTGTTTACATTTTATGTCAGTTATCATTTTGCACACAAGAACCTCTTCCTCCAGGCTCAAGATGAGGATTTCTTTTGAACTCATTATACCGATTTGACCCCTACTGTAGATTTGGTTCGCTACTTTTTTTTTTATATTTTTGATAAATGAAAAAAAAAAACAATGCAGATGGGAGCTTGAGGGCCAATTCATCAAGCGATAAAGGCTAGTACTCTTTCATTGAACTACATCTCCCATTGTTACAACTTACTCATAAGGTTTTTGTCATTCATTTATTTGTTTTCACTCTGTTAATATATTTTGCTAAGATAGCATTCTCATTAGTTTTTGTTATTTATTAGTTTCCATCCTGTTAGGGGGTGTTTGTTTGCATGCAAGTGAAAGATGAAAGTAAAAATGTTACTTTCATTTAACAATTAAGGTGTTTGTTTTCATGTAAGCGGTTATGAAAGTGAGATGCAAAAAAGTTGCCACATATGATTTAATGTAATTTTGAATTCCCCTAAAAAAGTGGCGAAGTCACATGAAAGTGTCAGAAAGGTAACTAATTTAATTAAATAATTTTAATTATACTCTCTAATTAATCTTATTTTACCACGTCATCTTCACATTGCACTTTCGATAATAGTTTAATTTTTTAAACAGTATTTCACTTGCATGCTAACATGAATGTAAAAGCCATTTATAAAAAAAGTAACTTACATATTTTAAATTCACTTTCAGATTGTCAAACACCCTCTTAATATCTAAACATGAATGTAAAAGCCATTTATAAAAAAAGTAACTTACATATTTTAAATTCACTTTCAGATTGCCAAACACCCTCTTAATATCTAAAGGGAATAAGTTCATCTGAGATAAATTTATTCTCATTCTATATTTTCTTTAAAAAAATTAATATTATTTTTGTTGTAATCTCGTTGTTATCTCTACGTACATTACATATCCATAATATAAATCGATCATGAAATGTAAAAGTAAATAGATAAGAGAAGAGAAGAGATAGGTAGAAAAAGTGATCCTCATTTCATTCATCCCTTTGCTTTTCATACATGGTCCAATTTATAGATACATAGTGGAAAATAAAAGGACATTGGACAAATGAAAAGTCACAAATTAATATTCCACATTCAATGTAATGTCCACATTCATTTTGTCTTTTAGGTTTCCACAAAATGACTTGTAGATTTCAACACTCCCCCTTGGACATTACTTTGAGATGTCAATGCCTCGTTAAAAACCTTGCTGGAAAACCCAATGGGAAAAAACCAGTCGAGGAAAAGAGTACATGACATGCATACATTATTTCTGTTACGTCAGTTGTCTCGTTAAAAACCTTTCGCTAAGAAAAACCATGTAGGACAAAAACTTAGCAAAGGAAAAAAGAGTACAACTATAGATCTTCGGGATCCAAACTTGTGCTGCATTAGCTGCCTCGTTAAAAACCTTTGGCTAAGAAAAACCCAATGGGACAAAAACTTATAAAGGACAGTGGGGGGAATATCATCTTTCGCTAGACCACACGAGCCATAAATATGTCGTATCAACGATCTTAATCATACACATTCTCGTGAGGTCTCATATAAAGTGATAATCTCTGAGTGGTTAGAAGTAGTCACCATGGTCTGCTTAACAGACCTCTAAGAAACGACAGTACCACCATAGAGAAAAACATAACCAGTCTGGGATCTGGCGTTATGGGGATCAGATATGTAGCCAGCGTTCTAATAGCTCACCAATGTCATATCTTGGTTTCTTTTATAGAATAGTCCAAGATCTTTTGTACCTTGAAGATAGCGAAGGAAATGTTTAGCGCCATTTCAATGCCTCCTTATAGGAGAAGCACTATACCTTGCTAGCAAGTTCACCGCAAAATGTAATATCAGGCCTGGTGCAATTTGCTAAATAAAGAAGTGCTCAATGGTGCTCAGATAGGGAACTTCTGGCCCTAACATTTCTTCATTATCTTCTTTGGGTTTAAATGGGTCTTTATCCACTTCGAGGGATCGAATGACCATTGGTGTGCTAAGTGGATGAGATTTATCCATATAAAATCTTTCCAAAACCTTTTTCACATAGGTTGACTGGTGTAGAAAAATTCCTTCTGGGAAAATGCTCGATCTGTAGGCCGAGACAAAACTTGGTTTTTCCCAAGTCTTTCATTTCAAACTCCGTCTTTAGGCATGAGCTAGCTTCTGTAAGCTCATTGTGCGCTCCAATAACATTTATATCATTAATATAGACTGATATAATACAGAAGCCATTTTTGAATTTCTTTATAAACACACAAGGGCATACATCATTATTTGCATATCTCCTCTTCAGGAGGAACTTACTCAGTCGGTTATACTACATTCTATACTACGTTCTACCCGACTGTTTCAAGTCGTATAACGACCTTTATAATTTAATGTTATACATCTTGCGATTCTTGTTTTCTCTTAATTCAAGAATTTTAAGTCCATCAGGGACTTTCATATAAAAATATTAGCGTCTAATGACTCGTATAAAAATGTGGTCATGACTGGTCATGTTATTCTCTGTAGTGGTACCATTTATTTTTTTTGGAGGTTTTTAACGAAGCATTGACATCATGTAGTAATGTCCAAGGGGGAGTGTTGTAAATATAAATACAATGAATGTGGACATTACTAGAAGAAGACTCTTCACCTACTTGTGACTTTTAGTATTCTCTTCCACATCTATATAATGTAATCCATGAAAGACAAAATGTATAGAGGAATGAGGAAGATGAATAAAATGAGAATTACTTTTCTCCCTATTTCTTCTCTTGTCTATTTACATTTACATTTCATGTTTGATTCTTACTTTTGATATGTGATGTATGTAGATACAACAACGAGATTACAACAATTTTTAGTTAGATTTGAAAAATAAATAAATATATATATAAAACAAATTAGATTTTGTGTATGAGAAATCCAAGACATCTTGCGTCCAGGTTCATCATACAGAGGAGAGTCGTGGCGCCTAGAGTAATCCCGGGCCCCACTGATCATCGGAACGAGTTATTAAAAAAAAACAAAAAAGCCCCCAAAGTTTTCATCATCATCATCTTCGTCGCTTTTACTCTCTCTCTCGAGCTCTCTGCTCGGATTCTAAAGTTAGTTACTTTTTGTAATTTATCAGTCTAATCGTTGAGGTTAGTCTCTCTCTCTCTCTCTCTCTCTCTCTCTCTCTAGTTTTCTTTGGATCTCTTAAAACCCTAATCTAGTTTCATGTGGCAAAAACCCTTAAGTTAACAAATCCTCAGCTTGTTGCATCTTTAACTGATTGGAGCTCAGATTTGTATGGGAGAATGTATGAAAAATCATTTCTTTGGTTGAAAGATTCTTTTTTTCCCCTATTATAATTGAGGGCAGGAGCTAAATTAGTTCGCTGTTAAAAAAAGCATTTTTATTTTATATTTACAGCTTATGAAAAAAAATTGGCACACCTTTGTTGGAAGATTTTACAAAAAAAAAAAATCTACTTTTCCATTAAAATTGATGATTGGGCTTATCGATTTGATGTTATGATACTATTTTGCATTAATTGTTTTAACACGAAGCCATTGGGGCAAAAAAGGGAAGTGACAAATTTTTGTTTCCTTACATTTTCGAAGTCATTGACACTGTATTAGCGAGAAAGAAACTTTATATGAATCAGTAAAAGATCCTTTCTTTGGTTAAACAAATTCAACTTTTCGTTAAAATGGAGGATATGAGCAAAGCTGTTTTGATAGTATTTTGCTTTATTTTTGTTATCATAAAGCTATTTTAAAGATAAAGAGAAGTGCCATTTTGTTTAGATGAAAAGGATGGAGCCTTCACAAAGAAGCACTCCAGCCTGCTAGAAGTGCCATTTTTTTTACTTGCTTATGTTTGCAAATTTTTAATTTACCTATATTTGCCAGAAAGAATCTTAAAATGGGAAGTTTGAAAGAGGAGAAATTTCGATTTTGCATCGATAGAGGAGGCACGTTCACAGACATCTATGCTGAGGTTCCAGGTCAATCCGACTGCTGTGTGATGAAACTTCTATCTGTCGATCCATCAAACTACGATGATGCTCCAATTGAAGGGATAAGAAGAATCCTAGAGGAATATACAGGTGAGAAGATCCCGAGATCTTCCAAGATTCCTACTGATAAGATCGAGTGGATTCGAATGGGCACCACTGTTGCTACCAATGCTCTTCTTGAACGAAAGGGTGAGAGGATTGCTCTTTGTGTGACTCGAGGGTTCAGAGACTTGCTTCAAATTGGAAACCAAGCACGTCCTAATATCTTCGACCTTAAGGTCTTGAAACCCTCTAATCTATATGAGGAGGTTATAGAGGCCGATGAGAGGATAGAACTCCTTATTGACAAAGAGAAGGAGACTTCTTCTTATTTAGTCAAGGGAATATCTGGGGAACCTATAAGGGTGTCAAAGCCACTTGACAAAGAAGCTTTGAAGCCTCTGTTGAAGGGTTTGCTCGATAAGGGAATCAGTTGCTTGGCGGTTGTATTGATGCATTCTTATACTTATCCTCAACATGAGATCTTGATCGAGGAGTTGGCTTTGAGCATGGGATTTAGGCATGTTTCTCTATCATCGGCTTTGACTCCCATGGTTCGTGCTGTGCCTCGTGGATTGACAGCTAGCGTTGATGCTTATTTGACACCTGTCATTAAGGAATATTTATCGGGTTTTATGTCTAGATTTGATGGAGGAGGCGAAAAGGTGAATGTACTATTTATGCAGTCTGATGGAGGTTTAGCACCAGAAAAGAGGTTTTCTGGGCATAAAGCCGTTCTCTCAGGTCCAGCTGGAGGTGTTGTTGGCTACTCACAAACTCTATTCGAGCTTGAAACATCCAAACCCTTGATCGGGTTTGATATGGGTGGAACTTCAACTGATGTGAGCCGTTATAATGGAAGCTATGAGCAAGTTCTTGAGACCCAAATTGCTGGAGCTATAATTCAAGCTCCTCAACTTGATATAAACACAGTGGCCGCTGGTGGTGGCTCTAAGCTTAAGTTCCAATTTGGTTCATTCAGAGTAGGACCTGAATCAGTTGGGGCACATCCTGGTCCAGTTTGTTACAGAAAGGGTGGGGATTTAGCTGTAACAGACGCTAATTTGATTCTAGGAACTGTTATACCCGACTATTTTCCATCAATTTTTGGTCCAAACGAGGATCAGCCTTTAGACATTGAAACTACCAGAAAGGCATTTCAAAAGCTTGCGCTCGAGATCAATTCATATAGAACAAGTCAGGATCCATCAGCAAAGGAGATGACAGTGGAGGAGATTGCTCTTGGGTTTATTAACGTGGCAAACGAAACTATGTGTCGGCCTATACGACAACTGACTGAGATGAAAGGGCATGAAACAAGAAACCATGCTCTTGCTTGCTTTGGTGGTGCAGGACCTCAGCATGCTTGTGCAATTGCCAGGACTTTAGGCATGTCAGAAGTTCTTATCCATCGATTTTGTGGGATATTAAGTGCTTACGGTATGGGATTGGCTGATGTTGTTGAAGAAGCACAGGAACCATATTATGCTGTTTACGATATGAATTCAGTTCCCGAGGCCTCTAGGAGGGAGTCTATTCTATCGCAACAAGTTAAACAAAAGCTACGAGATCAGGGTTTTAAAGATGAAAGCATTGTGACTGAATCTTACCTCAATTTGAGATATGAAGGCACAGATACAGCCATCATGGTTAAAAGGCAAGTTGAAGGGGAGGAGAATGACTATGCTTCCGAATTTGTGAAGCTATTCCAGCAAGAATATGGTTTCAAACTACAGAACCGGAAAATCCTTATTTGTGATGTGAGAGTTCGAGGTGTAGGAATCACCAACATCTTGAAGCCTCGAGAAGTGGAGCCAATTTCAGGAAATCCTGAACCTGAGAAGAGTTACAAGATTTATTTCAAAGACGGGTGGGAAAATACACCATTGTTCAAGCTGGAGAAATTGGGGTATGGGCACATCTTGCAAGGCCCTGCAATCATCATGAACGGGAATAGCACTGTGATTGTAGAACCTTCTTGTAGAGCTGTTATTACCAAGTACGGCAACATCAAAATCGAGATTGATTCAGCTCCAACCACTGTAAAAGTATCAGAAAATGTCACAGATGTTGTGCAACTTTCAATCTTTAACCATAGATTTATGGGTATTGCCGAACAAATGGGTAGGACTCTTCAGAGGACATCGATTTCTACTAACATAAAGGAAAGACTGGATTTTTCATGTGCTCTCTTCGGTCCGAATGGAGGGCTAGTTGCCAATGCCCCTCATGTTCCTGTTCATCTCGGGGCAATGTCAAGTACAGTTTGCTGGCAACTCAAGCACTGGGGTGAAAATCTCAGCGAAGGAGATGTACTCGTAACTAATCATCCTTGTGCTGGAGGAAGTCATCTCCCTGACATAACTGTTATCACGCCGGTCTTTGATAATGGGAAGTTGGTATTTTTTGTAGCAAGCAGAGGACATCATGCTGAGATTGGTGGTATCACTCCTGGAAGCATGCCACCGTTCTCAAAAGCAATATGGGAGGAAGGGGCAGCCATTAAAGCGTTCAAGCTCGTTGAGAAAGGTGTATTCAATGAAGAAGGGATCATCAAATTGCTGCAATATCCATGCTCGGATCAACCTTCAACTCCTAAAGTCCCAGGAACCCGCAGGATTCAAGACAATTTATCTGATCTCCGAGCCCAAGTTGCTGCAAACCAAAGAGGAATTGCACTGATCAAAGAGCTAATCCAACAATATGGTCTCCAAACTGTTCAATCGTACATGAACTATGTCCAGAGCAATGCAGAAGAAGCTGTAAGAGAAATGCTGAGATCAGTTGCTGCTAGAGTTCAACAAGAGAACGGCTCAACCGTTATCGAAGAAGAAGACTATATGGATGATGGATCCACGATCCATTTAAAACTCACCCTCGATGGAGAGAAAGGTGAGGCCTTTTTCAACTTCGAAGGCACAAGCCCAGAGGTGTATGGCAACTGGAATGCCCCCGAAGCTGTAACAGCTGCAGCAGTGATCTACTGCCTCCGATGCTTAGTAGATGTAGATATTCCCTTAAATCAAGGTTGCCTTGCCCCCGTCAAAATCCATATTCCCCATGGTTCATTCCTCTCTCCTAGCGACATGGCTGCAGTTGTTGGAGGCAACGTGCTAACTTCTCAAAGAGTCACAGACGTCGTTTTGACTGCATTTCAAGCTTGTGCTTGTTCCCAGGGATGCATGAACAATTTGACATTTGGGGACAATACGTTTGGTTACTATGAGACTATCGGCGGCGGGAGTGGGGCGGGGCCCACTTGGGACGGGACTAGTGGGGTTCAATGCCATATGACGAACACGAGGATGACTGATCCTGAGATTTTCGAGCAGAGGTATCCAGTGAAGCTCCATAGATTTGGGCTCAGAGAGAGCAGTGGGGGTAACGGTTATCACAGAGGAGGAGATGGGCTTGTGAGAGAGATAGAGTTTCGGCGTCCAGTTGTGGTGAGCATACTTTCAGAGAGGAGAGTTCATGAGCCAAGAGGATTGAGGGGGGGACAGGGTGGAGCTAGAGGCGCTAATTATTTGATTTGTAAGGATAAGAGGAGGGTTTATCTTGGAGGGAAGAATACTGTTGAGGTTGATGAAGGGGAGATCCTGCAGATTTTGACTCCAGGTGGTGGTGGATATGGAGCTCCTAGCTGAATTCTGAGTGGTGAAACTTTAAACTGCATCTTTGGTCATTGGTTTTGTGCTGCCGTTGACAGGAATAAGGACTTTAAAATAAAGTGTTAATGTTGCGGGTTAATGTGATTAACACAAGGGTTTATATCCAAACCCTTAAAGATGAGTACTTGATTCATGTTTCAGTTGGAATAATCTTTTTTTTAATTAAATCTGGGGTCATCCTTTTTGTTCTTGATATGTTTAGGTCCTGTACTGCGAAATTTTTTGCCAAACAGTGATGATGCACTCTGAGTTATATTGTTGGTAGGTAATAGAAACTTTCAATAGAAATCAATCTTGATGCCATGGATTTGCTAGTTTGTATGCCATTATCTTTTCATGATCCATTTTCAAAGAGGAAGACTGCCAGTGCATTTGCTCATGCTGAAGCTGAATTATTTCGATTAAGAGTGTCTTTTTTTCTGATTAACTATTTTGATCAAGAGATTAGATGACCTTGATTTTAGGCAGCCAATATTTTGATCACATAATTTCATGCTAAGCCAATATTTTTGGTTTCGAGGAAGATGGTTCTACCAGCTAGGCATGCAAAGAGCGAGTCTTAGTGGTAGCACCGTCAATACTCCCAGATCCTCGGTTCGATTCCGTCTCTATATCTATTCCTCTATAATAATGAGAAGATCCAAGGTTTACAATTCATACTACACTAAATGATATAGTAAATTATTATATAGTATTGTTACGGTAGCACAGCCAAGAAGATCCGAAGCGCACTATTCATGTCACAATAAATCACTGTGACATTATCACTGTAGCACGAGTTGTAGTACCTAAAGCATTATTGTAGTTCAGGGGATACTAAACCATTTAAAAAATATTACTGTAATACTTACAAAAACTATATTTGAATATATAATTACTGTAGTAAAAAAAATAGAGTACGAGTTTGCACGGGGTGCACACTAGTCTAATCTAGAGTGTGGGAATGGAAGATGGAAACTTCATCTTTTTTTTAACACGTTAATGGATATTCTTGTACCTATCTCTTTACAAGTATTTTATATGCTTTTTTTTGTAAAATATGATTATAGAGAAGGATGAACAACAGAAAATGCAAATTAGAGAATATCCTTAAACCAAGAATAAGCCCGTTAACTTCTTTGATAAATAAATAAACATTTTCTCTGAGATTTAAACTACTATGAGTTGCGATTTAACTATATACATATACAAATTATCATAAGATCCACGTTCCCCATCTAATCTAGCGCCACGTCACCCGCCAAATTTCGGGACTAAAACTTATTGCAACTTTAGTCAACATATTTAATCAACTTACCATTTAATTAGCAGATAAAATCTCCCACCAAAACCTTCACTAAACCCTCAGCTAAATTAAAACCCGACGATTTTGAAAAAGAAAAAAAAAAGAATTTGATCTCAGATCCAGATTCAGATCTAAAATCGTTAGGTATAAGGTACCAATTTCGGTCTCAGGCCGCTTTCCTCCCTTTTTGATTGCGTGATCTCTAAGCATTTCTTTCTCGCTTTTTTCCCCAAAATTTATTGATTCGGTTGCATCGGTTGGTGCTGTTTGTTGATCTATATAAGATCTCGGATTTTGGGGAACAATCTCAAGTGTAATCAGTTGAAATTTTCGTTTGATTTGCAAATTAATCAGATCAAATGGCGGGAAATGGGAGTCCGGCGACCAAGGCGCCTCCGAGCCCTTCGCCATTGAGAAACTCGAAGTTTTTCAAGGTAAAGATCAGTTCTTTATTTTAAAGTTTTGATCTTGGGTGATTTTGTTTGTAACTGGGATCAATTGAGTGCTTAAATGTGCGTTTCTCGTTTGAATGAAAGTATATATGTGGACTCGGTCCATGACACTAATGATGCGCTAAAGTGATGGAACCCTAGGATGACTGGACTCTGCGATTTGGACACTGATCCATCCAATAGTTGATACACTAAATACTTTCGCATGGTTATGGATTGAATTAATGTGAATCTGCTGGTCTTTCCGTTGCTTTTTGAGAATCAAATTGCATAGCTTGTTTGGAGTCAGATGATGATTTAGTTGGTTTTGATTTTGTCAATTGACAGTCCAATATGAGAATTTTGGTCACCGGAGGAGCTGGATTCATTGGGTCTCATTTGGTGGACAAATTAATGGAGAATGAAAAGAATGAGGTACTTATTTTATGTTTCTTTCTCTATTTTTAAGTTATCATATTTTTAGTTATATCGACATGCATTTCGCACTAATAAATGTCCCAGTGGATGTTAACATATCACAGTGATTAGAGTCTTGTCCCCCCCAACCCACAATAAATGAATGGGAAAGCTAGTGCCTTTTAACCAGCTGATGGATTGTCTATGTATTTTGCTGGTTATATTTTCTGTTTGGCCTTAAAAGTATCCGCATTGGTAGTTTATATAATCCATATTGATCATGATCTACGGAATTCTGTATTAAGTACCTACATATACTATTCTTTGACCTTAGGCATTGTGAGTTTGTGAAGGATCCTTACTAACTAATAGAAATTGCATTTACTGTATTGTCCTCTTGTAAATTATAATGTCTGATTCAATTAAACCGCCAGTCAGAATTCTGTAGAAACTTTTATAATTTTATCTGATCATTAATATGTTTTCATTCTAGAAACCATAAATTAGGTTCTTTTTAGTGTCATGTAATGAAAGGAGGAAATTGTGAAGTTGCCGGAGATGTGAGCTTAATGTCTGCTTGTGTCTGTGCAATTCCTAACCGTTGATAAACTAGAGATTAATCTCTTTGGAACTCTAATCTCATTTATTTCCTCGAACTTGTCTTTCCTAGGTGATTGTTGCTGACAACTACTTTACTGGTTCCAAAGACAATCTTAAAAAGTGGATTGGCCACCCAAGATTTGAGCTCATCCGGCACGGTAATCACATACATTTCGTTCTTGTTAATTTCTTCACATCTCTATTGATGTATCTTAATCTTCTCATGGGACTTTAGTGTGGCTTTCCTAATTTTACATGGTATTTTGACTTCTATGTTTTTAACTTTATTTCTGAACGTATTCTATGTTTTAAATATTTTATATGTTACCATGTCAGATGTCACGGAGCCATTGCTTGTTGAGGTTGATCGGATCTATCATCTTGCCTGCCCAGCATCTCCTATTTTCTATAAGTATAACCCTGTGAAGGTATGAAATTATTGTAAAATATGCCTTTGTTTCTTTAGTTATGATGAGGGTTTGCCTTTATAAACTAAGCCTCCGTGTAAGTGGTTAATCCACAAGGCAAGAAGAGTTCGAGAATGTGACAATTTCTGATGTTAGAAGCTAACTGAAATTGAATTAACCAACATTAAGAAGTTTCAGGTGATTGGTTGGCCCGTCACGTTCTCTTCACAGTTACTAGGGTGTGTCATATTTGTTCTGTTTAGCCCCTCCCAGATGTGATATTCTTCTGTAATTTAAGCTAGGATGTTCCTAACTTGAAAGCCTCTAAATCTGATGTCCAGTAGCCTGTCAGCTTTTTCACCCGCAGCTCTCTCAGCTGATTTCTACTGCATATTTTCTATGTTCAATATTCTTTAGCTATGAATGCATTCAATGAAGTGATCTTGAACGGAAATCTGACTCAAAAAGAGATTTAACAGACTATAAAGACAAATGTCATTGGCACATTGAACATGTTGGGACTTGCAAAGAGAGTCGGAGCAAGGTAATGGTTTGCTATCTTGTTATCCTGCCTTGTACAGTTGTTTCTAATAAGAATGCTACTTACTATTTCTTTTTGGTTTTTATCTTACAGGATTTTGCTAACATCAACTTCAGAGGTTTATGGTGATCCACTTGAGCATCCTCAGACGGAGGAGTATTGGGGTAATGTCAACCCAATTGGTAAGATTTTGATTGGACTGCAAAGGGTTCGCATTGCAAGTTGTCCTCAATTGTGTTTTTAAGGCTCTACTTTTCTCGTGATCATGAAACACGATGTACTGCATCTCTATTTACTTTGCTCTAGTTTATTGCAGGAACAAAGATTGATTCAATTTGAAAATAATACATATGTTGAAAACTTTATGCCGTAACATGCTGACTCCATAAAAAATGCATGTCATGAGTTATACTGATAAAATATTGTTTTTGAAATATTTTCATCACACAGACTATTTTGTGAGTTTCTGATAATAGTTTATAGAATTTTCCGAGTATTTTCATGACATGCTTGTGGATCATTGCTGTAATTAAAAGCACGATGTCTTCATTAAGAGTTGCATTCACATGAGATTTTGTGCAGCTAAATTACTGCCTCAAAGATATTTCATCATCCTGCACAATTTTTGTCATTATCTGGAAATAGTTTAGAAATATTTCTAAGTATTCTAAGATATATTTGTCATTATATTTTTAACATTATATTCACTTGTCCAGATAGGTACTTCACACTATAGTTATTCTACACTATCCTTGAGCAGTTTATGATACACACCCTGAAGAAACATTGAGTATTGCATTAGTCAATCATTTTATATGATAATCATTTTGAAATGAAAGGTTTTTCTTTGTGAATTGCAGGAGTCAGGAGTTGCTACGATGAGGGGAAGCGTGTGGCAGAGACTTTAATGTTTGATTACCATAGGCAGCATGGGATAGGTGATTCTACTTAACAATTTAGTCTAGAGAAAGCGAATTTTTTCTTTTGCTCATCTGTTTATATTGATTCATCTTGGCCCTATTGTTATAGAAATTCGAATTGCTAGAATTTTCAACACATACGGACCACGAATGAACATTGATGATGGTCGGGTGGTTAGTAACTTCATCGCTCAAGCACTTAGGTAACACCTTTTCATATGCTCTGAAGTTTCAGTTTTCACTGTCAATGAGATGTATAGGGGGTGGCTAGCCTCACATCTTGAAGTCAGAAATTTCATGTGTAAAGATCCACAATGTTTTTCTGATTGCGAATGGATCTATTATGCACAATTCCTGGCATATTTGACAATACACATTTTTCTTACTATGGTACTTTGATGTAGGGGTGAATCCTTGACAGTCCAATTACCAGGGACGCAAACTCGAAGTTTCTGTTATGTTTCTGACATGGTAAAGATAATTCCTAACCTGCTATGTCTACAGTCTTTGTTGAGTAGAATAGTTAAGGTGTAAGATTATTTGTGCCTTTTTGAAGTGAAGTAAGAGGGGATCTTACGTCCTGTCAGGATCTAAAGTAATCAGTCCTTTATAATTCAAAGATCCCTCCTATACAGTAAAATAAGATCAACTCCTAACACTAACTCTTCTAATATTTGTGTTTGGTGAGAGTTAACCTTGACTCTAGGCTGACTCCAGTTTCCAAACGCACCAAAATGATGCTCTTTTATTGTATTCATGTAATTCCAACTGTTACTACATTGTGCTGATCCATGTTTTCATTTCAAATATAAGGTTGATGGCCTTATCCGATTGATGGAAGGACAAAACACAGGTCCAATCAATATTGGAAACCCAGGTAATTATCGACTTTAATTTAAAAATTTTAATATACTTAGGCCGATCGTATTTTATCATTTCGAAAATCACATTACTCCCTTTTCTCTTATTTAAGTCTTGGTATTTGAAAGTTAATACTAACAGTATGTTCTTATTTTTGACATAGGTGAATTTACGATGATGGAACTTGCAGAAACTGTGAAAGAGGTAACCAGTTTTGCAGTTTTTTCTGCATACGATCTCTCATCGATATGATGTCTAGCAAGTGTCACTAATTTTCCAAAAACTAACAAATAATATGGGCTTAAAATTGCAGTTGATCAACCCTGGGGTTGATTTGAAAGTCGTGGAGAACACACCTGATGATCCTCGCCAGAGGAAGCCGGACATTACAAAAGCCAAGGAATTGCTCGGATGGGAGCCTAAGGTCACCTTGCGTGAAGGGCTCCCTCTCATGGAGGAGGATTTTCGTCGCAGGCTTGGTGCTGCGAAAAAGGCTTGATGATAAGCTCGAGCAGCAAACATTTTGAAGGCTACATGAAATTATAAGTTTTGATTGGGAGATCCACAGCGGTTTACGTCTTTTTACGAGCTTATTGCCTTGAAAATCTTCTTTTAGAATAAATTGTTGGTTAGGTTGGCCAGGTATGTGGTAATTGTTTGCACAATTGAAGGGTTTGTTTGTTCGTTTGTTTCAAGTTATCAAATATATAATTTCTTTTGTCTTGATTTAATTTGTTGTGATCATGCAACGATGCAAACAAACCCCCTCCCCCCTCCCCCCAAAAAACCCACCACCAAAAACAAACAAACAAACAAACAAACCAAAAATACAACTTGCGTTCTCAATTATTGGCGCAAGACCCGTTACCAACCTTGGATTGGGCATTTAAAGCGATGAACCAGGAAGAACAATTGCAAAAGAGGAATGCTGTGGTGAAATCTGATGCAGTAGATGTGATGACTTTTGCAGTTCAAGGTACCAACAAAGGTACTCCGGATTCTAAACCGCGGTTTCTTCCTAATGTTACATGTACTTACTGTCATAGAGTTGGGCATGAGGAAGCCACATGTTATGGGAAACCAAAAAAAAGAAAACAAAAATAAACCACCACCAAAAACCAACCGACCAAAAAACCACCCAAATAAAACCCATCAACCCAAAGCAAGTGGCATAGTGATTGAGGCTTATGGTCTTGCCTGAAATGCCGAAGGGTCGATTCGTGTTTATCACATTGCTTAGCTCCAATTTTTAATTATTAGACATTGCAAAACTTGTGCTATTCACCTAGGTCTAGACTTTGAAATGAGGCCCAGGCCTCCGAGTTTTACTTGATTGATACTAAGGGGCTGTTTGTTTGCATAAGGGGGAAGGGGAAAACCTGTCAAAATTGTCAGTTTTGGTTAACTTTCTTGTAAAAACGCCTCTTTTGACACTTTTGCAAGAAAGTCTGTCAAAACTGATACTTTTGACAGGCTTTCAACCCATTTCCCCCTCTAAAAGAGGCAACTAAACGCGCCCTAAGTCAAGGTTCCTCCCCGGAATTAACTTGGTTGGTAATAAATCAAGGTTCCTCACACCGAAAAAGAAAAAAAAAGATTTCTACTTGTTCTTCTTTCAAAGCTCAAAAGAAGACCATCCTATCGTCATGGTTGTATCATGTATGAGCACTTTTTAAGGATCCAAAATTCATGTGACAAAGGTGCAACAAGACCTGTATGTGTCCTTATTTTCTTTAGTTAGGATTATCTGCACGATCAAGCATTTGCAGGAAAAAATACTTCTGTCCTACAGCTCGTTCCCTTAAGTTTAGCTACAAAAATAACAATTCCTTTGATTAATCATACAAGGTTCTCGAGCTGAAAATAAATCTTTACCCAATATACCAAGCTTTACTGTCGCAAACTATGAGAAAGAAAGATTTTCTTTTTTGCCCCCATCACATTTTATGCACATGAATTTGTAACTAACGTTTATGACCAGCACTCAGGAAAAGCCTTACGTAACAGGAATAATCAGAACAATCCTAACAATCCGCTCGCAAATCTGATAGTACTTGTGCTCCGTGGTATACACGAGGCTATCTTTAGAGTACCACATTCATAAAGATGAATATAATGAAAAGGAATATGGTAAAGTTCTTCATTTGACAAGCACATGTTTGAACAAAACTGTAGTAAGTCAGTGTACACAACATAACCAACATCATGCACTTACGACGATTTTAACTCCTATGCGGTAAACAAGAATCGAGCATGTATATATGCTAGAAAAGAAAGCAAGCCTGTCATCGCTGATTCAGACGATCAGACTGAATCCAACAATTAGAACATAGAATCAATTGGCACATAGAAGAAGGTAACAGATGATAGGAGTCATCCATGTAAAATATTGCAAGAAAAACAAGATCAATTAAATGCCTGAAAACATCTCGGGTTTACAATCAGAGACAAACAGTAAAAATCTCAAATTTGTGTTTCATTTATATCAGAAAACATTAAAAGGCCAGGACTAGTCAGAGAACACATATTGACCTTTTATTTTAATCGTAGGGAAGGGGAAATCCATATTGCTTCAACAAAACAATGTCTCAAGTTTTATGGGGAAACATAACAGAAAATCAGGGAGTCTCATCCAAAAGAAGAGCGAATGTGTCAGCCACACCACATCAACCGATGAAGTTCACCTACAAAAAAATATATTTTTGTTAGAGCCCTGTGAATGAGTCAGAAAACATAATCAAACATTGCACAATGCAGAGGTCAATTAGTTTCAAAAAATATAGGTCGGCATTGTACTGTTTTAAACTTCAAAGTTGACAATGTACAATGAAAAGCATAAGCCACATCCCACTAACCCCTCTTCAATAGAAAATATTCGAAGAACAAACAAAAGCAACCAAGAAGGGAAAGTGGCATCAACTATTTCTCATAAAATGAATGCACTGGTTACACATGTCATTCGCTATTGCCTTCTTCATTCATAACAGATGAGAAGTATAAAGAACAAAGAGTGTTATTCTAAGAAAAATTGTCGGTATGAAACCAGAGCACCATGTTTTGAGAACAAAACGCCGCAGCAAAATACTGGAATTCATGGCCCACTTAACATCGATGATCTACCATAAAGAGCAGAAAACAGCTACTGAAGGAGAGTATCTTCCACAATGGCAGAAAGATGCATGCAAAAACTTCATGAATGAAAATTTAGAAAAACAAAGGCTCGATAGACATCCTCTCCGAAACTATTTTATAATGAACTATAGTTTTATTTTCTACTTGTAAGCTATTCATTTCATGATTTCTAGGCGCTAGGGCTTAGGGTCATCATCAATAAACTATGGAAGTGAAAGAAATAGCCAATAGGTCCATAGATACGAAAGTTTTTTTTAATGAAGACAGTATCTCGTGTGCATTTTGTGAAGCTCCAAAAGTAGGTCATGTTAATGAGACAGGACCAGCTCAGCTATAATTACAATGCCATGTGAACCTCAAACATACTATACCACCCATCAATATAGTTGGTTGATAATATGACCCTCCGAATCCTTTACCGTTACCACGTTATCTTCAAAAAATATAAGGAAGAACTTGTTCCGAACCCTTTTCTCCATTCATGCTGTACAATTGTCTCTTTATAAAATGAACAACCTCGTGTAAACAAAAAGTTATAGTTTAACTCCTTGTCATCCCAATTGATGTTCAGTATACCCTATATCATACTACATGATTTAAGCATGGATCAAGGATTAAACAACAAACAAACAAGGAGTCTGAATATTTTGACTTTAAGGGGAGGAAAATATTGTATACCAGAGTGTATGATAAAAGCTTTCTAGACTCCAAAACAAATCAGCAACTGTTATACAAGCAAAAGAAACAGAAGCAAACAGCACAATATGGTATAAACATTTGGAGAAATTTTTAAAACCAACCATTTTTAAAATTTAATGGGCAAAATCGACCTATACTGAAAAATATGGAGAAATTTTTAAAACCAACCATTTTTAAAATTTAATGGGCAAAATCGACCTATACTGAAAAATATTAGCAAAACCGACCCTTTTCAAAAGAAAAGGGTCGGTTTTGCAGCGGAGGGTTTTTTACGAAGTGCACGGGACTAGCAGTCCTGTGCATTTCGTTGAGAAACGAAGCTAGTCCCGTGCACTTAGTGTTCAGCAGCCCCTACCGTCTCTGCTTAAAAGTCGGGACTAGCAGTCCCGACTTTTAAGCAGAGAGGGTAGGCGCTGCTGAACACCAAGTGCACGGGACTAGCAGTCCCGTGCACTTGCTGTGCACATTTTTGTGCACTTTTTGGCTGCATTTCAAGTAGTTCTTGTGCATACATCAACACAAACTTCCTCTAACAAGTCACATACTCATTTCACCACTGTATTTCATGTAGTCCCTGTGCATACATCCACACAAACTCTCACTAACAAATTACATACTGATTTCACCACATACTCATTTCAAATCAAACAAATCACATCACACCACAAACTCCCACTAACAAACAAATCCAACATAATAACACCACAAACCCACTTAGAAATCAAACATATCACACGATATTATCGACTACAAATCCAAAAATCACATCCCTAAATAGTTTTGTAATGTATATAACCTGTAGTTTACATACATCCAAGAACTCTCCTCCTCCTACCACGCCTTTTGTTGAAGTATGCGTTTAGTCTATAGAATGTTCTCGCAACCAAAGATTGTATTGGCATAGCTCGTGCTCCTTTAAGAACGCCGTTAAAGCTCTCGGAGCAATTAGTCGTCATCATGCAAAACCGCACACCCTCATCCTTACATAATGCCCACCGATGCTCGAATTGAGGCTTCAAGTTATTTTCAATCCAATTATGTGCATCTAATGACAAAGACTTGATTTTCTCCCTGCAATGTTCATACACTAATGTGTCGGTCGCACACCCGGCTTGCCACAAAAGATTTTGCAAATTAATCTCACCGTGTTTTTTCTTGAAATTATCTCTTATATGCCTTAAACAATATCGATGGTGATGTGGTGCACTAAAACCCTCATGTAACGCCCTTATAATTCCTTTCATCCTATCCGAAATAAAGGTAATTATTCTTGGCGCACGGATACTTGGAATCCACTTGTATATAAGTTCAAAAAACCACTTCCAACTAGACGTATCCTCCACCTCCACGACTACAAATGCTAGAGGAAATAACCCGCCATTTGCATCTACACCAGTCGCTACAAGAAGCACGCCTTTGTACTTTCCATTCCTTCTCAATAAACAACTCAATTGACGCTTGTTTCTCGACTAATTGTTTCATGTCATTCAATTCCTCATCTTCGGTAATCTCCACTGCAATAGTTCTACTCTCATTTATCGGACAGTTGAAGAACACCCTAATTGTATATTCTTCTTTCTTAATTTTAGTAACTCTGTGTATTTCCCTAGTCATTCCATCAAAATTACACGACTTAGATAGCATGAACATTTTTCGAGAACCTCCATCATACATAGGCAAATTATTCACTCCGACACCGAGGCTCCCATTAAAGAAACAAATAATGGGTATGGCGTCATCGAAACTGAAAATACACAGTCCATCATATGCAAATAATCTGTTAATATCTGAATAAATCAATATCAAATTTATTACCTTAATTAATCTCAAATAATGGCTAAACCCTAATTATTATTCACATATGTAAATAATTGCTAAATCCTAACTCCCAAATCACATTATTCATCCTATTGCACAAAATAAAATCTAATCCTACCCAATTCTAGCAAAATTAACAGCCAAAACATTATTCCCCCAATTCTAGCAAAATTTGATGAATATCCCTCTAAAAAATAATTGCTAAACCCTCTCATATGTAAATTAACAGCAAAATTAAAAAGAAAAACACACCTGAGCGGCGACTGCAAATGGCGGGGGTCGATAATGTCGGCGGCGCGACGAGGTCGGAGGGCTAGGGGTAGGCGGCGACTGCAAATGGCGGGGGTCGAAGTCGAAAGCTAGGGTTTTTGGGAGGGGGGTCGAAGGCTGGGTCACCGAGAGCGGTCGGGGTCCGAAGGCTTCGGTCCCATCCGAGAGCGGCGGCCCGGGTGGGGGCAACGACTGCAAATGGCCAGTGGTCGCGGCGGGGGTCCGACAAAGGCTAGGTTTTTTTTTTTCGTTGCGAGGGAAGTGGTCACGAGTAAGAGCAACAACAGAACGAAAGAAAGGGGAGCTGGTGGGGTAGGCGGACTGCACGAGACTACTAGTCCCGTGCAGCTCGATAAAAAGGGTCGGTTTTGCTAATTATTTTATGAGGATCGATTTTGCCCAATAAAATTGAAAAAAGGGCTGTTTTAAAAATTTCTCCTAAACATTTCCATAAACATTGTCCCACGAACCCTAATCCACATAAAACTTCATTATTAGACATGTTCCTTCTGTAAAGAAACGAAAGGAGCATTTTTATACAATAATAGCATACGTGGGGAGAGACTAGTCTCTGCATTTCTCTCATGCATTACTTGCATAATAAGCAAGACCTATAAGTAGGCTACACTCCTGTGTCTCCTCATAGATTTAGATCTACCTCTAAGTTCAACCCCCCTCGCTGGACCAAACTTGACCTTTCTCGCCAACACAAAAAATGATAAATCGAATTCCGTTCTCGCAGTAGCAAGTACAATAGGCCAGAACTTGTTTATTAGACAACTCTACATTGCAATTTGCAAGACCCATATATAAGTCCTAGTGTTTCGTATGTTTCTCTCTTATTCCATATGCATCAGTATCTATTGCTCTCCCATTCAATTCATATCCGCATCCAATTTCGCCCGTATCGATATAGGTTTTTCTTATCGGGTTATATCTGTGTTGGTTAGCACAAAAAGATGAGTTCTTTAACAGCTAATGGGACTCAAACACTCACTCCAATACGACAATTAGTTGACAATTCTGATAACAACCCATATGCTACTCCAAGATCTCAGTCTCCGATCAAAATTGCTCCGTGCCATCAAAAAAGTAACCTATACACGCAGATCGAACTACCAAATTCACCAACTAACGAATCTAGAGTTTCGTGAGGGAGAAAGGAACCTGTTGTGCTCCTGGACGAAGCGGGAGTTCTTGGCGTCCTCCTCTGCAAGAGAGAATCAAGTAGAGATCGATGAGATGAGGAAAAAAGAAAAGAAAAGGGGAGATCTTTGAGGGGGTAAAAGATAAAAGGGGAGATCTTTGAGGGGGTAAAAGAGAAAAGGGGAAATCTTTGAGGGGTGAGGGAGGGAGAGATTGGATCTTACCGGTGAGGCCGGCGGTGAGCTTGGTGATGAGGGCTCCGGTGATGGCGAATCCGGTGAGGAAAGGCCAGTTTCGGTTCCACTCCCTCTTGAAGAAGACCCCCCATGGATCGAACCTCCTCATTTTCTCTCTCCTCTTTCTTCTTTCTCTCTCCTCTCGACGATGAAGACGACGGCTGGGGGCTTTGAAAGGATGGGGACGAATTGCTCCTATAGGGCTTAGCACGTGCCACCCGCGTGCGAGGCTTTTTTTTTTTAGTTTTTAGTTTTTGCTCTATAAAATTGATTTTGACAACAAAGAAAAATAGGAAAGTTTGTGTTTAGACTTCAAATTAAGAATCATCATGTGATGTGATTTAGGCTATTGACCAAAGTCAAATGTTTTTAAGCACTTTCTTTCGACTTTTCATTCTTTCATTATTTTTCCCCTTTTTTCCTAAAATACCCTCATCCTTTCCTCCTCGTATCAACATTTCTCTTCATTTTTCTCTTCATTCCTTCTCCTCTTTCCTCTCTCTTTCATCCTACCTCCTCCCTCCTCCCTTCATTTTCACTCTATCTCCATCATCTAACCTTCATCTTCCTCTTTTATTTGGCCATCGTCCCTTCTCCTTCTCTTTTATTCATATGAATTTCATCTTCTCATTTCATTTCTCCTCCCTCTCAACTTAATTCTCATCATCTTGCATTTTTCTTTCTCCCTTCCCCCTCCTCTCTCCTTCGTTTTATCTTTGCCTCTGCATCCCTCTACTTTCATCTCCACCTTCATTTTTCTTCCTCCTTCGTCTACACTTTTCTCCCCTCCTACTTTCTCATATGTCCCGCAATAGCTAGAACATCACTCAAATGCTGTCACCTTTGTTTAAACGGATCATCCCATAAAGTTGCGCTGAAATTAACACTCAACAACTAAGCTTACAACCAAATAGTTAAACTTAATACTAAAACTTTAAAATTAATTGGTTCGCTTTACAGTTAACATGTAAGGTCGAAAATGAACTAATAATTAAGTTTTTTTTTCATCGTTATGACATCTCCTTTGTCGTTTTTCTCTTTCCTCAATTATCTTTACTCTTTCTTCTTCCACAATCGTCGTCGAATGCCTCAAAGATTATCTCTTTTAGCTAAGACTATCATTTTTTTAGTGTTAACTTAAACTTTTTAGTGTCAACTTAAAATTTGAGTTTAAATTTAAACTTTGAGCGTTAACTTTAAATTTCAAGTGTTAAAATCTTTATAGTTTTTAAAGTTAACACTTAAAGTTTATAGTTTTTTAAAGTTAACACTCAAAATTTGAGTTTAAATTTAAATTTTAAGTGTTAACTTTAAATTTCAGGTGTTAAAATCTTTATAGTTTTTAAAGTTAACACTTAAAGTTTATAGGTATTTAAAGTTAACACTCAAAATTAAAAGTTAACACTCAAATTTTGTGGAAAAAAGGAGAAGAGATGGTTCATGAAAGAGGAATATTGGTAGAGGAGAAGGCATAGGGGTGAAGAAAACTTAATTTTTAGTTTTATTTTAGACATCACATATTAACTTTAAAGTTTCAGTATTAAGTGTAACCGTTAAATGTTAAATTTTAATTGTTAGATGTTAACTTTGACTTTTAGAAATTAAGTTTAACTATTGAGTGTTTAACTGTGTTAACTTCAACGTGACTTTAAGAGATGGTTTGTTCAATTCAAAGTGATAGTCTTTGAATGATACATCAGCAATTATAGAAGAAGAAGGAAGAGCGATAATTGAAGGAACAAAAAAGATAACTGTGACGCCCCTGGGTTCACACAAGGCTGCAGTCCAAGATGAAACCAAGAATGTCAAACCTGTCATGCATCACACCGTGTAATAACATGTTTCACCATCACAATTAACATCTATCTAGTAGAGTCAACAATAGGTGTAGGTACAAAAACAAGTAAAAGATAATACAAGAAATAACTGATGAAATGATAGTGATCACATTAATATCTCATCATCCAACATACAGAAATACATAGTCAATGTCTGAATAGATAACTGGAATACTCAACAAGTCTCAAATATAAACATCTGACAAGAGGAAATAAGGCACACAACCTTTACAACTTCTAGAATAAGACTCTCAAATGTCTAAACAAAAGTCTACTGTGGAACTCCAAAAGAAAATATAACTAAGTAGACAGCTGAAGCTAAAATGCATCGCCATCAACCTGCGACTCTCCGGGCTCCTGGCTCGTTACCTGAAAGGGGGAGGGACAACGAGCGTCAAAGCGCTAGCGAGCAACATCACAACCAACCCCAAGGGAACAGGGCTCGTTGTATAAGAAAATACAGATAATACATAATAGATCTAAAATCATTGATCTTACTAAAGAGGATTTTAGTATTTAGAAATTTACAACACGAGCATAGGTACGTCGAGCGAAATAATCCAAACAAGGAAACCCTCATGTATATACCTTGTATCTCAAATTGTAAATCCCTAAACACCAAATCGGAGGTTCTAGTACAGGAACAATAATAAAAGAAATACAACTAATCTCAGAGCATAAATACGGTGCCATAGTCCAACACAATGACTGTGCAACAGTGAAAAGTATATGCGGAAAGATATACATAATCTAAACTCGCACGCATCTCGGTGTACATGTCTAAACTTGTGTCAAAGTCAACCCACATGTACAGATAAATCATTAACATGGTGAACTAGTGTCAGGTCATCGAGGCGACCCCGAAAAAGCAACTCAAACAGATCAAGAATCTGTAAAACATCTCATCAGTCGACTGAGTGTGGTCGAGTGATGACCGTCAGTCGAGCCTCATTATGTCGATCGATAAGGCCACGGCAGCCACAGCCTCCAGCTTCACCCAGTCGACTCGATTCTTGTCTCGACTGCGGAGCCATGAGAAAACACCAATCAACTGTCAGTCGACTGATCAGTCCGACTTGATGCCTGAAAAATTCGGCCCGATTCGGTCGACTGATCATCGACGGTATTGACTGCAGAAATCTCACCAGGTTGTTATTCACCCAAAAAATTATATCTAAATCATCCCCATCCAATGTCCCAAGAGCATAAAGATACTGATATTAACATGTTATGAACCTTAACTGAAACGAAAATTTTCATGTATGAATTACTAAACCAAAAACCCTAATCATCGTGCATTTCAGTGTTTTAAAAACATTTTTTAAAACCAACTCGTGTTACAATCTCTTATAAAAATATTCTCAGATCTAGATCCTTCCAATTCAACTCCTGGATCTGAGAGAGAGTGGTTCCCCTTCGCTGCAACGTGAAGATTTCGACGAAAATCCTTCAAGTTCTTCCCCAAATCACCAAGAACAAAACTAGGGTTTGAGATAGGGGAGAGGGGTCTAGGGTTTTCTCAGATCTGAAGATGAGAGGGGTGATTTCGGGTGAAGGAGAATATAAATGAACAGCTAAACCCGACCCAAACCCGAACCAAATCAAAACAGACCCGAAACCTGAAAAACTAAAAATCAGCGTATCAGTCGACTGATCGGTCGACTGATACAGTCAGCCGACTGATCGGTCGACTGATCTGGCAAATTCCAGTTTTTGTGCATGTTTTGCTTATTTGCAAAACCATCGCACAAAACTCTACACCCATACTCTCATATCATCTCAAATAACTTGTTTTCATGTACATCAATGACCTCAAGCTATTTATCATAAAAAAATTATTTATTACTAATAATTCACATATAAACATTATAAAAATTACGGGGTTCTACAATAACAAAGTGGTAGTGGTGATGGAAAAAAATGATTGAGAAATTACAAGGGAAAAAGAGAAGGAGAATGCAATAAGAAAGGTGGTGATGAAAGAAACAATGGTTAAGAAGGAGGAGGAGAATGAAATATTTTTCATGGGTTCATGAGGGGAAAAAAAAGAGGGATTAGAGATTGAATGTAAGGGGACGACAACATGAAAAGGGATTTTTCAGATGAGTAGATGAGTCAAAGGGAAAAATACACATTGAAAAGTTGAAGGGGTGCATCACGTGAGAGCTCTTAAAAAAAGGCCTACATACGAATTTTCCAAGAAAACAGTAGAGGTTTAAATATCTAGAAATCTAGACTATTTTACATTTGATCAGATGAAATTATATTAAAAAAATTCAATTCCTCTATGCATTTAAGTGATCGAAAATTGTTTTATTTCTACTGAAAACATAATATATTTGCTGTAGAATACTTTTCGCCTTATTTTCTCTTCTTATTGTTTCTAGTGGAGTCTAGCATTTTATCTTTGTTAGCTTTGTTAGTGCCGCTTGTTCATCGCTATTTTCAAATAACTAGTGATTTATTATATTTTTATAAAAGTAATAGTTAAAGATTCATTCACAAAAAAAAAAAACTCCTCCTTTCTACTTCATATTGTTAGGAAATATCTAAGTCTCCATCAAATGCATTAAAGTATAAAATCATGATACTCAACCTTTCAAAACCCAAAAAAAGGATAATCCTCAATCTTTATTATGACTTTAGAATTTTGATACAATGACGAAATCCTAGAAGATTTATGACACACATGCAATAAGCTGAGACTCAACTGATAAAAATTTAATTTTGCATTTCAAAGAAGAAAAACGTTGTAATAAAGTGCCATTAAACTCTTATTATTATTATTATGTCACACTTAAATCCATAGTTGGGACATTTCAAACGTAAACTAAAGTCGTCAAAATGAGTTTAAATGAGAGGCGCTAAAAGCGAAAAAGTAAATAAATAAATAATAAAAATAAAAGGGAAAATGTATCTAGGCCCCCAAAAAATAAAGAGGATGTGACTCATCCCCCAAATATTTTTTCCTTACTCTTTAACCCCAAAAACACAACAAAAAAAAAAAGTGTTCAGCCCCCTTTTCACACTCTCCCAGGAATTTATCTCAAGATATTCCGAAAATACCACTTCCCCTTTTCTTCTTCTTCTTCTTCTTCTTCTCCTCCTCTTTGTCTTTCTCCTCCTCCTCTCCCCTAACTGCTCTTTCTCCTCTTCTTCTCACTGTTTGCATCAAAAGTTGACTTTGTCATGGAATTCATTATATCTTCGGTCGATTACAACAAATTCAAAAAAGAAATAGCCTTTTTACAAGACTTCTTTTACACAACAAAATAAAAAATTATAACTCTTGAGAAACAAACGCAGGATCGTTGTTTGGATCGCTGCTTGCGTGGGATCTTTGCCT